GCGGCCCCATCCGCAACGTTCTCCATAAGATTTTTCAGGATCGGCGTCATCTCCGGTTCAGCTTTGGATGTACCTCCGCACACAGGAAACCGAGGAGATCAGTTTCGAGATCAGCACAGTCCTATAGAACAAGCATTTCTTGATATTACTGGATCGAAATTTTTGTCGCCAGACCAGCAGTCTCAGGCTCTTTGGGAGGCTTCAAGTGGCCGCCAGTCTAATTTGCCATGTGCAGCATGCATCACACACACCGCACTTGCAACGTCGAAACATTGTGTACATGTCCTACGAGAAACTGCACCACAAATCTCCAAATTTGGATGAATTATTGCATCATCTGGAGCTACATGGGACTGTCCTCTAACGCAGGAAAAGCAGGACATGACATGGCCCTAGCTGAGACACTTTGGTAGGGACATGTGTGTGTGTGTGTGCAGGAGGCATGTCTATTTTTGTTGGATGGGGTCGACCCTAGGGAAGCCTAATTAAAGCACCATATACATGCCCTTGCCTGCGGCAGCCCCAATCCCAGGCCCTAGCTGGCTCTTCACTCTACCTTCACCTTCTTGGCTGCGTCCTCCTTCTTCTTCTGGGACTTCATGTACGCCAGCATCGGCGCGAAGCCACTGCCGAAGCTGAGGGCCTCGACGCACCTGAGATGGAAGCTTTCTGTATTGTTGGGTTGTTTTCGTTGTTTGGGAATGATGATTCAGAGGGGGTCATTACCTATATGTGTATATATATATATACATTATCGCATTTCTTGTGCTACACCGTGCTACGTGACGCGTAGCACTTCAGTGATGTCGATTTGTTTTATACTACAGGTTCTGGGACGTGCGGTTGGTTGCACCCTCGTTTTTACATACACACGAACACGTTCTCTCTCTCTATATATATATATATACACTGAATTACATCATATATTTACACAAGTTGCAAGAGCAACATGAATGTATACATATATACATATATACATATACAAACTAGGAATATATAAGTTGTTCTTCTTCGGTCGGGATGTTCGCTT